TCTTTCTTTCTTTCTTTCTTTCTTTCTTTCTTTCTTTCTTTCTTTCTCCTTCCTTCTTTCTTTTTCTTATTTTCTTTCTTCTTTCTTTCTCATTTTGTTTTTTCAGGATGAGGGTACCCTATGAAGCCCTAGGTGTCCCGGAACTCACTCTGTAGACCAGGCTGGCCTCAAACTCAGGAATCTGTTTGTCTCTGCATCATGCTTGCGGGATTAAAGATGTGCACAGCCACTGCCTATTGTATCTTTGTTTTAAATGCAGGTTCTGGGGTATCTAACTCAGGTCTGCATGCTTGTAAAGCAAATATATTATCAACTGAGCTATTGTCCTAGTTATTTGAGGAACTTTCATTCTGATTTCCACAGTAGCTGTGCCAGTTAAAAATTTTCTGTACTCTCCAAATAACTTTTAATGGAATTCTGATTTTTGTTTCAAATTTTTTTCATTTGTCTATATGAAGATAATAGACTTTCATTTTAAAGAAAGTTTTCTTCTCTCTGCATATTTCCAACTGCATTCAATTTGCTTTTCTATTCTTTTTCTTCATTTCTTCATAATGCTAATGAAGAAATAAATGCCTTTTAATTGTCTGTTTGATTACATTAAGGAGAAGCATATGAAATTGGACTGAAAGTTTCTTGTGCATTTCTGGGTTTATTGAGCAAGGTTTTTGGTCTTGGATTATTTGTATCAGGTTGTTTCCATTGGTATGTTAGTGAGAGACGGGGTGATGGTTGAGAGTGAGGGTGACATTCTTACTACATGTATCTTTAGGTACTTTCTCTCCAGTTGCTTACATCATCCAGACTGCTGTTAAATATAAACATAATTGGTGGCTATTTTGCTTAAGGAAAAAGGATGTGAGTCTCAAAGTTGTTAGATAGATAGCTATTCAACTCCTTGTTTTCAGTATGATAATCTGATCTTAAAGTTGAGCCTTAATATCCCTTAGTCGAAAAGGCCCTCTGATTTACTTTTCTGTTTGGTGTGTGTATGACTGAGTTGTGCTTATTACAGCTTTTAATTTTTTTATTTTAAATTTTAATGTCTGTATAATTTTGGTTTTGGTAATAGATTTATTATAATGTAAATAAAATGTTACAAAATTCATCCCTTTAAAACAGGGTTTCTCAAACCTTCCTAATACTGTAGCCCTTTAATACAGGTCATCATATTGTGGTGATCTCATAATATGTTATTTTGCTACTGTTATTAATCACAATGTAAATGTCTGTATTTTCTGATGGTCCTTGGGTACCCCTGTGAAAGGGTCATTCAAGTCCAGTGGGGTCATCAGCCATAGTTTGAGAACCACTGCTTTAAAGTATACAATTCAGTAGTTTAACTGTATTCATCAGATTCTATGATTATCAACACAATCAATTTAAGAACACTTTTACCATTAAAAATTTCCACCCTAAAGTCAATCCTAGCACACTTGTTAGTCCAGCGCTGATAGTCCTGAGGAAGAAGGGTCTTGAGTTTGAGCTTCATAGTGAAATCCTGCCTTTGAAAATAGACAAATAATAACAACCAACTAACTGATCAAGCCAAAAAAAGAAAAGGAGATATTTATACTACCTTGTACCTTTTAATAGTCACCTCTTACACTGATTTTCTCCAATTGTTCATTTCAGCTGTTAATCTGATTTCTGTTTTTGTAGATTTACCTATTCTGAGCATTCCATATAAGCAAAAACATACATTATATGGTATTATTACGTAGTTTCTTTTACTTAACACAGTGGATCTTAACCTTCCTAATGCTGTGACCCTTTAATAGAGTTCCTCATTTTGTGGTTTCCTCCAACTATAAAACTATTTTGTTGATACTTCATAAATGTAATTTTGCTACTGTTATCAATCATTACATAAATATCTGATATGTAGGATATCTGATATGTAAGCCCAAAGAAGTCATGACTCACAGATTGAGAATGTCTTACTTAACATAGTATTTTTTGAGCGTCATCCAATTGCACATAACAATACTTTATTATTTTTCTGTCTGAATATTTTTCTGAGTTGTTAGATCATATTTGATTAATATGATCATTAGTTGATGGACTTTTGGCTTGTTTCTGTCTTTTGTTTACCATAGCTATTACAAACATTTTAAGAAACTTTGTTATTTTACCGTGTATGTGTGTTTTTCCTTCATGTTTGTTTGTATACCATGTGCATGTAGCGTCCTCAGAGGACAGAAGAGGGTTTTGTATTTGTTGGGACTGTTGTAAACCACTATGTGGGAGCTAGGAATCTAACTCAGGTCCTTTAGAAGAGCAGTCAGTACTTTGAGCCACTGAGTCATCTCTATCAGTGTTAAAAAAATGGCATTTTTTTCCTTTTTTCTTTTGTTTATATACCTAAGAGTAACTCAATAATAACCATATACCTAGGAGTTACCTATGTCAACTCTATGTTTAATGTTGAACAAGATCTTACTGTATACTCCTAGTTAGCCTGGGATGCACTATATAGACCAGTCTTGAACTTACAGAGACATATCTGCTCCTGCTACCTGAAGGGCTTAAATGTGTAAGCCATCATGCTTGGTTATATTTAATAGCTAGCTATTAGACAGTTTTCCATAATGACTGCAGTTTCTATTACCACCAATAGTGTAGGAGATCTGATTGCTCCACATCTTCACCAATACCTGTTAGTATTTATTTCATAACTACTTTGAACTTTTATCTTTTCAGGATATCTTTTTGAAATGGGAAAGTGGGCTTTTTGTAACATGAAAGTGAGATGTTTTTGATTTTTTTTCTCTCTTATAATTAGATATCGTGTGAATTTGTTTTTAAGTTTTACAAACATTTCCTCTCTTCTCAATTATTTTCTTTTTGTCTTGAGAAAAAATGTTTTAATATTCTAGTTGCATTTTTATGAAGGAGATCAAATGTATGTATCGGTCTATCATCTTTATGTGTTGATTATTCTTATTTGAATTATATGTTGAATTTTATTCACATCCAATGAAAGGCCCTCTATCTTATTTAGGTATATCCTTCTCCCAGTCTATTTGTGTTATGCACTTCCCATATGCACATTCACCCTAACTACCCTCAGCTTCTCCTAACTATGGACCCTACACTATTCCCAGGACCCAATGTCATGACTCCATATTTATAGCAGCAGCAAGCCAATTACTGAATGAAATGCAGCACCAGTTGATGAATATTTTATTTTTCTTGTGATCTTAAAAATACTCTGTTCTCATACCCAGTTATATTTATATTTAGCACAACCTATTTCTTTTCTGGGCCTTCAAGGCCTGTGGGTCTGGTCTTTTGTTAATTTTTGTGGACACAGTGAAGAATGTTTTAATCATTCTAACTTACTGTCATTTTTTGCATTCTCAAATTTTATGCAGTTTATACCAATGTGAATTTATGTAGTATTTGAAACACTTCAATTTTCTACCTTCCAAGTACTTCCTTCCTTTTTTCTTATCTTTTTTCCTTCCCTCCCTTCTTCCTTTGTTTCTTCCTCTTCCTTTCCTTTCTTTTTTGATATAAGGCCTCTCTATTATGTAGCTCTGGCTGGCACCTTCTTCTTCTTCTTGATACTGGGATTGTAGGCATGTGCTATCAGTTTTTAAAGCAGTATTCATAACAGTTTTTCAGGTATATTGTTTCTCTTAATTTTTGTACTATATGCAGCAGTGATTTTTCTGATTCATGTTCCTTAAGATATAAAATTGAGCCAGGCATGGAGGCACTAGGATAGTTAAGAGGCAGGTGGATTTCTGTGAGTTCAAAGCGAGCCTGGTCTACAAAGTGAGTCCACGACAGCCAAGACTACACAGAGAAACCTGTCTTGAAAAAAGTAAAAAAATTCATCTCTGGATTGTAATCAGTGAATTCTTGACACTTCACTTTTCAAAGGTACATGGCTTTTTATTTTTATTTTTAAAATTATTTAAATATTTATTTTTTTGTCCTGTGTATGTATAGTGCCAGCACACACGCACATGCACACACATTATATCTGTACAGCATGTGTGTTTCTGTTGCCCATGGAAGTCAAAAGAGGGAACTGGATTCCTTGGAATTAGAGTTATGGATGAACGTGAGTCACTGTGCGGATGCTGAGAAGTTAACCCTGGTTATCTGAAATTTTCATACATATTTTGTTTGATTCCTGTGTCCCCTCTACATTCCTTAATTTAACATTTATTAATCGTTACCTCACAGAGATCTGCCTGCCTCTGCCTCCAGCATGCTAAGTTTAAAGGCATGTGCCATTGTACCCAGCTGATCATTATTTTTTAATGATAGGAATGTCAAAGAAAATTAAAACATCGACTTGGTCTTGATTCCTATTTGCTCAAACCAGTTCAACGAATCACTAAGTACCAGTTGCTTTTAAAGGTAATTACATGAGGCATTTGCTTGTTTCTTTACTTTAAAAATTATTTTATGTGTATGAGTGTTTTGCCTGCATGTATGTATGTGTAGCATGCCTGGTACCCATGGAGGCCAGAAGAGGACATTAGTGTTATCAACTGTTCTGAGTCACCATGTGGGTACTGAGAATAGAAACCAGGTCCTCTACAAGAGTAGTCAGTGCTTTTAATCAATGAGCCATCTCTCTAACTCCTACTCTTAGGAGTTTTTTTTTTTTTAAATCAGATCTGGTAATCATTTAAAAGGAAGTGGTTGACTAGGAAGCACTAGCAAAAGAGCAATGGCCAGATTTAATTGTAAAATGTTTGCAGTGTGCTCTTTCATGGTGTTGTACAAATGATAGTCACAAGGTGATTAAGTTGTGAGTGTATGGAGTGTTAGCTCTTGATCCTCCATACAAGTTTTATATATATTTAAGCATAATGTTTTATTAAAGAATTTTTTGTATTAAGATCTAAATATATACTTATTCATTTTGACGTTATATTTTCTGTTGTCCTTTTCAATGAAAAATGCAAATGGCACTCCCTTATTTTAATAAGAAAGGATTAGTAAATTCTATATTATGTATAAATACAGCATAGCTTCTTTTAACTATATGTATCATAATTGACAAATTATTATATGTAGAGGGGGAAAACTCATGTAATTGCTTAAAAATGAATCTCTGATTTTTTTTTATTTTGTTAGCTGTAAAAGCATTGAATGCCCTTTGTTTTATACTCTTTAGTCATTATTCTACTTCTTCCCTAATTTTGACATTGTTATTAAATATAATGTTAATATGACAGAATATGAAAGAAATTACTCTAAAAATGACAGTACCTCTGGATTACTGCTGGAAAACATATTAACTTCAAATTATTCATTTCCAGCAGTTTTAATATGTGATTAATATTAAGTTTAATTCTTGACTTCTAATTACAGGAGCTTTTAAAGTACAGCAAAGAAGGAGAAGGAACGAATAAATTAAAGGAGGCACTTGATACAATGCTGGACTTACTGAAGTCAGTGAATGACTCCATGCATCAGATTGCAATCGATGGCTATATTGTAAGTAAGTTTTAGTGACTGTTGGAATTCTAGGGTGCAAGCTTGTCAGAATCTCTTTTTTATTTCTTGGATTCAATTGAGAAATCTCATATAAGAGGCAGACAAATGGGAATAAAAATATAAGCATTAGTACTGATAATACTAAGTGGGGAATTGGCTGCAGATCAACAGTCAAATGGAATTTTATGGCATTTTCCTGATCTGTAGCAGCCTGTCTTCAAGTCTGGAACTTAGGAGATTTTGTTTGAATAAATGCTTGGGTCATCTAAGCAGACATAATGTCTCAGAATTGCTGTTTGCTCTAGTCTAGAGTAGATATGAATAAAAGAGCCAAATCTTTGGGGCTTGTCACCTTTTCCCAGGTCAGCTCCATCCAGAGGGGAACCTTGGAGTAGTAATATATCATGTACCAATCAAGAATGAGGAAAAGATATGAGCATTGCTCCAGTTGAAATAGCTCTACATAGGAAATGACATGAAGCCAAAGAAAAGAAAGGTTCTTTTATGCTACAACCTCACAGCAATTTAAAATATATGTGAGACATTGCATGTTTTAAAGTAAAAAGTTACAGTACAGTGAACGTTCTTTAAAACCTACTCTTAAGGGCAGGCCCAGTACCCAGCAGTAGATTGGCAACACAAAAAGAACTCAAATGGCATTTATGGAGGTTCTTTGTCTCATAATGTTTTGTCAGATTTTCTTTAACAGGTTAAAGTTAATTTTCTTTAACAGGTTCTTTGTGTATGTATTATGTGGCTTTTGTTTTTATGGGATTGTGAATTTTGTGTATGTCTTTGAGTCTATATGTGTTTTTTTTTTGTGATTTTTCTTTGGCTCTTTTTCTTCTGTTTTGTCCTATTCCAGTTTCTATGGTTGTGTTTTTATCTTATTTTGTTTTATTATTGTTCCTTAGATTATGCCTGTTTGATTTTTTAAGGAGAGACAGAAAAGGTGTGATCCAGATGGCAGGAAAGATAGGGAGGATCCAGGAGGAGTTTGGAGAGCAACAACGGCAACCAGATTATATTGTGTGAAAAAAATATTTTTTTTCAATAGAAGAAAGTAGAGGGGAGGGGTAAGAAAACAGTTGATTATACCCTAACATAAATTCCATTATTATATCAATTAGCATATTCTGTCATCCTTATCATTATTGTAGCTTACATGTTTCACAGCTGGTTAATGCCAACTGACTATCCCTCTAGAAGCCTGCATAGTACTTTCTAGTACTATGAAGATTAGCTTGTAAAGGGTAAACATACAGGGTCAGTGCCAGATTGATTTATCCATTGCCTGTTGCAAAAATGTGATGGGTCCTCAGCAATAAAGTCTTATGTTATGATTTGAAAAAAAAAAAAAAAAAGCAGGCAAAGTGTGCTTAAGTCAAGATAAACACTAAGATGTTAATGTCTGATACATGAATATAGCTCTTCCATCTACAAACTGGCTTTGATATTTTTATTCTAGGGAAATCTGAATGAGCTGGGCAAGATGGTTTTGCAAGGTGCATTCAGTGTTTGGCTGGGACACCGGAAAGGTGCTACAAAAATGAAGGATTTTGCAAGATTCAAACCCATGCAGAGACATCTTTTCTTGTATGAAAAAGCTGTTATGTTTTGTAAGAGGCGGGTTGAATCTGGAGAAAGTGCTTATAGATACCCATCATACAGTTTTAAGCACTGCCTAAACGTAAGAAAACACATGTTGTGTAATATTATATTGTCTTATATGTATTCCATCTTCAATACATCTTTTTCACTTTAATGAATGGATTTTATACTGTTTACAAAGAATTTTAAGCTGGGTGGTGGGAGCACATGCCTTTAATTCCAGCATTCAGGAACCAGAGGCAGGCAGATCTCTTTGAGTTCAGGAAATCATGGTCTACAGAGTGTGTTCCAGGACAGCCAGAGCTACACAAAGAGAAACCTTGTCTTGAAAACAAACAAACAAAAGAATTAGGAAAGAAAACAAAACAATGCATGTGTGAGTACAGGCACATGCATCCTACAGTGCTACTTTGGAGAGCCTAGGACACCTCAAGTGTTAGTTCTTACCTTCCATCTTGTTTGAAGCAAGGTGTTCATTCTATTGTTCACTGCTATGCATGCCAGTCTAGCTGGCTGGAGAGCTTCTAGAACTCTCCTATCTTTATCGCCTTTCCTGAAGTGGGAATACTAGAATTGTAAGCAAGTACCACCAAATCTAGCTTTACATGGGTTTTGGGAGTCTGAAATCAGGACAAGGGGTTGGGCCCATGTGCAGAACTTTAATTCAACTCCCCCATCCCTGTAGTCTTCAACATTGTCCAAGGTGCACTCCAGTGAACTGGCTCACCTATAAGCACTCCTACAATGTTACTGGCTAAAATCCTTCCTCTTGTTAAAGCCTTTGTTATAGGAGAACAAAGAGGAAAGGGGATTTCCCCCTTCTCCTTTCTGTTTCAAAATCGAGAACTATTGTGCTTTCAATATTCCTACCTTCCTTTCTTTTTCCTTCCTCCATTCCTTAGTCTCATTCTTTCTGAGTATCTACTTACAGCTGGAATGGTTCCATATATATTCTCTACTATTCTTTGAAATTATTTTTTTTCTCTCTAGAACCCAAATAACTTTGTTTCTTGACCTTAGTCTTGTGTTAAAATAAGGACACTGTTGTTTGTGAAAGTCATTTAGCAGCCCAGTAATACTTCCAATCACATAAAGTTATAATTGATAAATTTGGTTATTTTAAATGTAATAAAATTTATCTTTCATGTTTAAATTGTAAAAGCAACAAATTTGTTTATAGAATAATTGGAAGATAGAAGATTTTTGCCTTCAATTCTCCAATTACTACTATTTTAGACATTTTTCCTTTTAGTCATTTTCAATGAATGTTTTCTTTCATAGTTGCCTTTCTCGGTATAGTTGAGAGTTGATGAAAATTTAGTTGTTTTTATATTGATGGACTTGTCATGGGCTTAAGAACTTAGTATAAGGATGCCACTTGATAAGTGGGCCAAGATTTTTATTTTCCTTATACTGGTCAGCTGTCTCTAGCTACATCTGACAAAATTTCTACCCAGGGTCACCCTGCCTCCCAGCACCACCCATTATTCATTTTCTATTCAATTCTGAATCCACAGTAGCTTCACAGCTTCATCACAAGTACACAGTTACTTTTATAGTCTATCTCTAATTTTACATATCTGAGTTATTTATGACTTTAATAAACATCCGCTGACAACCAAGACATAGAAATTTCTTTCTGACAGGTTTTAGATCTTTCCATCTACATATGCAGTTTTTGAAAAGGTATTTCACCTTTGTAGTCATGTTTGACATAAACCAATTTGATTCACATTCTGTTTGTGGGGTGACCTAGTGACTACCTAACGCAGAATTTCTTATTTGTATTGACTTTCTATTCTATTTTAAATTTGAAACAATGATAGGCATATCAACAGAGTGTTTCTGAAGTACATTAAAGTAAAGAAGGACCGATGAGGTAATGAGGCCAGAAGGATTACAATAGTTACCATGGAAACAGAAGGAAGAATTGATGCAGGAAACCTTTCAATGAAAGGCAGAAATAAGGGCTTAGTGATTTACCATATACAGAAAATAAATACTACTTGACATTTAAAAGAAGAAAATCTGTCTGATTTTTCTTTGGTTCTCTGATATAATAGTATCTTTAATAGAAAAGAATTAGTCGGTGATAGTTGAAAAATTTTAGATGAGATTCCTGGGAAAATGGCTATTCTGTAGACTAAGAAATATGGAAGTTAGACTATTTCTTAGCTCTCATTATGCTTGCTTTCTCTTGCTTACTTGTCGTGAGAATCTGTCATTACTGGTCACTGCGCCACTGAACATAGCTGAACAACTTCTGACTCCTGAAATGGATTTTTGTCTTGACTATATTACATCAAGCTCAAATTATACAGCCTTCTCCTGTCTTTCTAATGACTATGTACTGTAATGCAAACACTTAGCACCCATAGAAAACCATATGTCAGGTCACACATAATCAAATAAAGAGATATGGCTTCTTCAAATCTATCAGATTATGTGCTTGCTTATCATCAACAATTGTTGATTTATTTAACACATGCATATAGTGCTAACTTTGTGTCAGATAAAATGGTTTGATTTTTCAGGGCAACCTCCAACTGTATTTAATCAATAACGATGTGCTGATATATTAGCAATGGAAAACAGTAAAACAGTTGCAAGTCAAATACAAAAAAGGATAGGAAGCAAAGCCATAGGCTCAAAGCTCATTATGAACTTGAGAGAAGGGTAAAGAGCTTGTCATTCGAGTGGTTGGGATTCAGATCACTTGTAGCCATGTAAAATGTTAGGTGGGGTGGCTGCCGCTTGTAATCTCAGCTCTGGGGAATCCCCAGAGTCATCTGGCTATTTAGACTAGCTGAGTCAGGTGAGCCCTGGGTTCAGCGAGAGACCTTGCGTCAGTAAATAAATTGGAGAGCTATTGTGAAATAGATCTAGCCCCCACACAGGTACATCTACACGTGTACCCATATACAAGTAAACACACATACACAAATGCACACAACTCCACAAAAACTTACATGATAGGAACTTGCTGTTCAATAACTCTATCCCTATATCAACTCTATAAAGTACATGCTTTTCCAATTTTACAGTTGAAAAAAATGGAATTTGAGAAAAACCTAGCACCTTACACTAAGGCACATAGCCGATGAATGCTAGAAATGGATGGAAGTCTAGTCTGGTGTCTCATTCTCAAGTCTGTATGCCTGCTCCCTATCATTCTATGCAGAAACATATGCTGAAACATAATTCACATTTCAAAAAGATTCAACATAAGTATTATTATTTCTTAATATCTGAGCAGATTAGACTGCTATAGGAAGGATATATTTGGGAGCATTTGAAAGTTACTTTAGACTACATTCAAGTTGGGTGTCAGAGGCTCTTTAACACAGCTGAGTTGCGTTTCTAAATATAACTGTTTTCCTTTACCTTAATGCAGGAATCTTATGAGCACTGTACTTAATGTTTATTAGTTTTAATTAGTGTCATTTGGGGGGTTCATAAGTGGATCAGTGTGAAATTCCTTCAGACAGGAAGGGATTGAAAGAAAAAAGGAAAGGCAGAGAAGGACTTAAAGAAAATGTTACACAGGGGATAGAAGTTGTCCCACGTGGCATTAGCCAAGGATAACTGGTAAAAGAAAACTGTGCAAAGCACAAAGAAGGGTGAGAAGAGAGCAATAGGGAAGGAATTAATGTTGTATACTACACACATTTTACTAGCGGTGCTAAAGTTATCACTCTTTCAGCTTAAATATTTTGCTTGAATTTGAAACCGAGGGATTGGTAGGAATAGAAAAAACTTTGTGAACTTGGCTGGGTTTTTCCTGACCCATAATTTTTTTGTTTGTATCTCATGGAGAATAAACTTGTAAGAGCAAATTGATATGGTCAGTAATTACTTTAGACATCAATGAAATAGACCAATTTCAGGTGGCTTTCCCCATTGATGTTTAATTACTTTTACTTCTGAAAAAAAATTGTTTCATACCAAGCACTGGAATGGAACACAACATCTGAACTCTGAGTGCATACTTCCACAAAAGCACTTAAGTTTGCATACCTATAGTGATACTTTTCATTTCCATCTCCTCCTTATTGAAAATAAAATGTGTATTTTGCTTAAGTGAGACATTCTGTTTCCTTTATATTATGGTAGAATATGATGAATGTAATTCCATATTTATAGTCAGTTTTCAGGAAAAGTTTAATTTGTTGTAGATGGAAGAAGTTGGAATCACAGAAAACGTGAAAGGTGATAACCGCAAGTTTGAAATACGGTATGGTGAGAAGGAAGAAATTTACATTGTTCAGGTTCGTTGTTCTTCTGGAAACCATAACCAACATTAAGATATTAAGATTTATATTTCCTTCCTTCCTTCCTTCCTTCCTTCCTTCCTTCCTTCCTTCCTTCCTTCCTTCTTTCCTTCTTTCTTTCTTCCTATAAATTTAATAAGCCATAAATTTCAATTTGTATTCTTCGTTGTGGGGGCATCAACTGGAGAACCTACTAGGAGCCTCACTCTTAAAGAAAACTGGCTCTCTTTAATCCGGAAGCCAGTAACTATCCTTTGGTCCCCAGTTAGCATGAATCCCTTCCCACACCATGTTGAAATGTTGAATAGGTTGGCCTTGTGTAAACAACCACATCTGCTGTGAATTCCCGAGTGCAGCAGTCCTGTAATGTCCAGAAGGCAGTTTTGTTCTGGTGTCTCCCAACTTCTGGATCTTCAATTTTTTTTTTTTTCTGTTCCCTCTCCTGTGATGTTTTTTGACCCTTAGGGAAGGAGTGTAATATAGATGACCTTTTATGTCTGAGCAATCCAAAGTCAATCAATTTCTACACTTTTAGCAGTTGTGGGCTTCTTTGTTAACCTTCAAGCTCTGCAAAATAAACATTTCTGACGAGTTCTGAGAGCTGCACTAAGGTAGAGAGATATCAGTTTAGAGGGCAGTTTGATATTATGTCCACTTAACAAAATAATTACCCCTGAAGCCTAAAGATTTCCCCACCCAGGGGTTCTTAGCTGGCTTTGCAATACCAGGCTTGTTACTCTCATAGCACTTATGCTAAGGATTTTAGGTGTGCGTGTGTGTTTGTGTGTGTGTGTGTGTGTTTGTCCATTTGTGCAGTGCTTTTGGAAGCCAGCAGAGAGCAACAGATTTCCTGAAGCTGGAATTATAGGCCATTTTAAGCTATTCCATGTGAGTGATGGAAATCAAAGTCAGATCCTCTGCAAGAGCAGAACATGCTATTAACCACTGACCCATCTTTCCAGCCCAACATTAATATTAAAAATTGGTTCAGTTTCCATCACCTACAACAGGTAACACACAATTACTTGGTAGCTCACAACTAGCTCCAACTCCAGGGGAATTTGACTGCTTCTTCTGGCTTCCACAGGCCCTGAAGGCTTTTGGTACACTTAACATACATGCAGGCATGTTGTATATAATTGGTACCATATAACAGACCTACTTTATAAGCAATGAGAGAGTATTTGAGGACTCTATCATTTATCATTTCAGTATCAGTTTTTCAACATTATTACAAAATTGATTCTAGGTTTGGAAATATTAGAGCTTGATTTGTTTTACCAAAATTAAAACAAAGTGATATATATATATATATGTGTGTGTGTGTGTGTGTGTGTGTGTTTGTGTGTCCAGTAAAGCAAAAATAAGTAAAAAGATCTCTTCATTTTCTGTAATAGTTATTCTGAATTCTGATCTTTCAGGTACTTTTAGAATGATTTTTATGATAATATCTCCTCTAATCAAATGGTTAATGATCTGCCTCCAAAATGCTTTAAGAAGCAAGAGGGTAGAAATTGAATCTGTTGTTTTGTAGTGACTCATGTTTGATTGCATTTGTTTTATTATAAAAGTACTCTTTTAGAAAAGAAACATAGTTTTCCCTTCTGTTTTAATTTTTAGGCTCCAACTATTGATGTGAAGCTGTTATGGTTAAAAGAAATAAGAAAAATTCTGTTGAAGCCGCAGGAACTTTTGGCTGGTAATTTCATTTTTTTCTTTTACTGAAAATAGGTTCTTTTCCACATAAAATATTCTGATTATGGTTTATTTTCCCCTTTACTCTTCCCTGCTGTTGACTGGCAATTTCAAGCATGTGTGCTTTATATGGAGAAGCACAATGACAACTCATTAGCTTAGATTTTGTGAAAAGTTTTTTTTTTTTTTTTTCTGGGAATGGGGATTAAAATGTAATAACAATGAAAGGATTTATTAAACTGAAAAAAGTAACACTGAGTTCAGAGAGCTTAAAAAAACTAGTTTGAACTTAAAGGTGTTTGAAAAACAGTTGACAATCAAAAAAGTGTCAATTTCCAGTCCTTCCTGAGAGGCTGCTGTGAGAAGAACCTCACAGAACCAGTATCCAGTAAGGCTGGGATGGAGAATTAATTGGTTGTACTTTTGAACTTACACTTAAGAAAAAGAGTATCTGTGTGTGTATGTGTGCATGGATGTTTGTGTGTATGATAGACATGTAAAATGCTTGTGTATGTGACTATAAATGTGTGTGTGCTTGCATAATGAGCATGTGGAGATCAGAGGACCAATTACATTCTACCTTGTTTGAGGTAGGACCTCTTTTCATGTTCTTTTGCTGCATGAGACAGGATAGTTAGCCCTGGAGCTTCCAGGAATTCTGTCTCCACTCTCATCTTACTGTATGAGTGCTGAGACCAAGGCTTAGTTTTGCGGGGGGGGGGGGGAGGATCAGTTTTGGAGATTCAAATGCTTGTGCAGAAACTACTTTTCTCACTGAGCTGACACCCCAGTCCCCCAGCTCGTGCTTTTTGAATAAAGTAACACATGGTTTGGACTTTCCAGATTCTAACGTCAGACTACCCTTCCTGTTTATTGGTCAGTTAAAATCCCTGAAAGGTGTGTGTGTGTGTGTGTGTGTGTGTGTGTGTGTCTTTCTCGCTCTCCCATTCTGTTTCTCCTCCCACACCTGTGGTGTGTATGAATGTCATTGGCCTTGAAAGAAATAAAGACACATGACTTCTGAATGACACATAGGTTTTGTTTTATTTGATAGCCCAAAACCAGCAGGATCAGCCAAAAGAACAGGATCAACTTTCTTCTCAGCAGGGGAATACTGAGTAAGTGATCTTTTCTCTCAGAACATAATTTTTTAAATTTTATTTAGATTTATGTATTTCTTTTTATGTGTATGAATATTTAGCCTACATGTGTATATGTGTACCACATGTGTGCCTGGTGTTCAGGGAGGTCATAAGAGGGTGCTGGATCCCTTGCAACTGGAGTTACAGACAGTTCCTAGCCATTGGGTGGGTGCTGGGAACTGAACCTGGGCCCTCTGCAAGAGCAACAATTGCTGCTAACCACTGAGTAATGTCTTCAGTCCCCAGAATACTATTCTTGCCATATTCTGTTTGTTTGTTGTATGTAGCACTAAACAATGAAATTACAATATCTCAGATAAGAACCAACCTTCTGTGATAGCAGTAACTCATCAGATAACATAAACACATTGTTTTCATTGGGATCTTAAGGAAAATCAAGCTTCTTTGAAGGTCTTTTACTTGCAAACTTCATGTTGTTCAAACAAAAGTGAATACTTTATGTTATATCCAGTAGTTGCTGTAACAGAAGCTGGTACTAACTTACCAGTGAGATTAGGTTAAAAATTTCCCTATATATTTATACTCACCTTACCTCTGACATATTGAGATGAAAAGTCTTCAGAACAACACAGATTCTATACACACTTGTCTTAGGTCTAGAAGGAAGCAGTTTTATCTTTGCATGAAAGGAGCCTGCTGGCTTGAATCCTAGGCCTTAAGCTCTTGAAGCTGTTTCATATTATCAACTATTATACATACTTAAATAAGGGCACATCAGCTTTTGGAATGGATTCTCAGCTTATTCTTAACACAAAGTATTAAGATAGATCATTTTAATTTCTCACTATTCTTAGACTATGCAAAACTCACCTATTTTTATATGTGACTTTTCAGAAAGCAAGAGGAAACTCTTATAAATGCTGTTGAAGGAGGAACAGAAGTGGAACAAGACAGTACCATGGTAGAATTCAGGGAGACAGTTGTACCATTTCAGGCAGAAGCAAATTCCACAGGTATTTGTCTTGGTTATGTGCAGATTCCAGTCATAATTATGTGAGTTCTTAACTCCTGTTGCTAATTGGGAAAAAATTTAACCATGTCTTAATTTTTTTTTTTATAAAGAAAAGGAAGTTAAACTGTTTAAGAAGGCTTTCATTTCTTGCACACTAAAAACACCCTAGTGGATACTGCAAAGCACTGTTTTTTCATTCTGTGGGTCCTGGACTGATAACATTGGTATCACCTGGGAACTCGGATGTATAGAAGACAATTTCTTTTCTTTTTCTTTCTCTGCCTCATATCTTTGGGTGTGAGGTCCTGCTACTGAATTTTGGCCAACTTTTTATATAATGCTGATCCCTTGCAATAGGGGACACAGGAATGGATACAACACATATATTGGCTTCAATGGATATACTGATCATTTACCATTTTTGTGACTAGAGCTGAGATAGTTGTTTTCGTATGAGAATTTGAAATTATTTACTCAGTACATTTGATTCACCAAATGTTAACATGTGCATCAGGGACTTTGTAGAATTGCATCTGAAGTCTAACTAAAATACACACTGTTACCATCTTTGCAATGCTAGGAAGGTAGATAATTCAGCAAGCAATTAAAGTAGAATGTGGTTAAGTATTCTAATAGTGAGGAACAAGGTGCTATACAAACATACAAGATCTCCTAAATAGCTTTGACAACAATAGCATAGACTCCCAGATAAATGCCAAATATGCAGCACTAGGTGAGGAGGAATAAGCAATGATGACCTTATTCAGTCTTTAGTTATCTATTTAGAGGTTAGTTCCCTTAGATCATTATATTGTGATTCCCAACCCCAGCAACAAAGTTATCCTAGTGTTAATGCCTTCCTTTCACAGGTGGGGAAACCACATCAGAGAAAGCTGAGTATTTGATAGTATTTCCAAGGTGACAGTTTTAATGCCGAAAATGAGATTCTGCAAGTTTGTGGCTTAGATTTGTCCTAGTTTCTTTTCTGTCGCTGTGATGAAATACATTGACAAAAACAATTTTTTAGGAGGAAAGGGATTGTTTATCACAGTTTGCCATTCCAGGTTACAGTTTATCACAGCAAGCAAGTCATAGTCACAGGAGATTGAAGCAGCTGGTCACAATCATGTCCACAGTCAGGAAGCAGAGAGAAACAATGAATTCATGCTTCTGTGCTTTCATGAATAGCTTGCTTGGATAAGTTAATTTATGTTATGAAGTCCAGGGTTCCAAACCAAGAAATAATGCTGCCCACTTTCAGGCAATCCTTCACAGACTTGCTCATGAGCCAACATGATCTTGCCAAACCCTCACTGAGACTGTCTTTCCATCTGATTCTAGGTTGTGTCAAGTTGACCATTAAAACTAACCATCAGAGATTACTTCATCTTAATCAGTTCAAAAATTTAAAAATAAATAAAGAAAGAAATAAAGGAAGGAAGGAAGGAAGGAAGGACAGAAGGAACAAAAGAGACATCTTATACCTTTCACCTACAAACTCATTTTTTGGGGCAGATGGATATACAGTCTCACTATGTAGCACTGGTTTACTTGGAACCTGCTATGTAGACCAGGCTAGCCTTAAACTTGTAGAGATTACTTGTCTCTGCCTTTTGCATCCTGGGATCAAAGGTGTACACTACTGTGCCTGACTATATGCAGTCTCTTATAAGTCTTGGGATGTGTAATACATGCTTTCTGCTTACTAAGAGAGACAATCTAAGCCAAAATAATATCAACACCAGGCAGAATCTAACAAGTATTATTTGAATGGAATTAATAAAAATATTATTTAATGAACATTCAGAACCATTGTGTGTGTGTGTGTGTGGAGGTAAGAAAGATAATATATTCTGAAAATGTTTAACACTAATTTTAATGCCCATAATCCTCAACTTGCAACCATTCTTAAATTTCAAAGAAGTATATTATAGTCTATTCCTTTCTGAAATGTCAAATTCAAAAATAGTACAACCTAAATGCAATTTTATTATATAGAGAAAGGCAGTAATGTTAGTATACTGAAGGGCACAGCTTTGACTGTAATGGTGAGCTTGCTTTTGTGGTGGAAAACCAGATCCTTTAACTGCTACACTTGTCATTTTTCATCTAGCTTGGATTGAGATGCCACCATCTTCAGAAGGCGCTGCAGCAGTGGAATGTTCAAACAACTATTTGTGCCCTGCTTACAATGACAGTGGAGAAGATAGGACACAAATGGTTAGTATGATGTACTAAATCAAATTTCCAGAGGCACTTTTACTGATGAAATAAACTGCACGCAAAGAAAAAAAAAATTGTCAGGATCCTTATTGAGTATATTCCATGACGAAAACATTTGAAGTGAATCTTGTAAGCACTCATGAACCACTTCTCTTTATACAGAATACATCTTAGAACACTACTGAAGTTAGGTAAATGACCAGTTTCCAAATGCCTATAAATATATCACTATGGTTGTTATTTTTTATCTTTTTCCATCCTGGATCCCTCTATGGTAGCCCAGACTGGTCCTCTGCTTTAGGCTGTCAACTGCTAGGATTATAAATGTGTGATTTCATGACCTTGTCAATTTTAGCCTTTTCTAAAAAAGGTAAAGTGTTTATTTTAGAACACATCTCTCTGTATATAGAATTTTTCTTTTAAGTTTAATATTTGAAATTATTAGTTCACAGAGAGTTAACAAAAATATTTTTGAAATGTCTTGTATTCTCTTCCCAGTGGTGACACCTCCTATAATTAGAGGACAAAACCAAATCTTGAAAATTAACTCAGTGCTATCCATAGGCTTCCCCCCTCCCCCATGTGCTTTTGTATATGTGTGTAAGCAGTTTTGTATAATTTTGTCCAGGGCTGTGTTTTTACATAGGCACGAGGGATAGACCCAGAGTTATGAAGCTTCAGATATATTTTAGAAATTACTTTGTGCAATTATTTCTTTTTTAATCCAATCATTTCTTAATTAATATTAACAGTATTAATGTGAGAAAGGTTAAATTTTGTTAGGTATAATTTACCGAGGAAGAGGAAGAAATTAAGGGCTAGCAAGATATTTGCCTTAATTGTCTGTCTTAACAGTTCTCATATTTTGAGTGACAGCAGATGTGCATTGATGTCCAACACTTACAGGATTGCTTACAACCATCTGTAACTCTAGTTTGAAGGGATCCAATGCCCTCTTCTGGCCTCCAAGTGCCACAGGCATATATACTACACATACAAAAATTTAAAAAGAACGTCTATTTACTTTTTAAGTTACAACTATTGAAAATATACTCTATTATACATTAAAAAGAGAATTAAGATTTAAATTGGGAAACCTATAATTCTGAGTAAATACTATTTTTATTAAAAAGTGAGTTACCTTTTGTAAACTTAAAAAAATAGTGAAAATATCTTTAATATCTAGCTTATTTAAATACATCCTGAACCAGGGCTGGTGGTGGCACATAAATTTAATTCCAGCTTTCGGGAGGCAGAAGTAGGTGGGCCTCTGAGTTCAAGACCAGCCTCGTCTACAAAGTGAGTTTCAGGACAGCTAAGGCTACGGAGAGAAACCATGTTTTGTTTTTGTTTTTTTTTTCCAACTTTTTTATTATTACTATCATTTATTGTGATTTATTCACTTTTTTATTAATTAAACTTTATTCACTTTGTATCCCCCATAAACCCCTCCCTCTTCCCCTCCCGATCCCACCCTCCCTCCTCCTTCTTCACAAATGCCCCTCCCCAAATCCACTGATAGGGGATGTCCTCCTCTCCTTACTTCTGATTTTAGTCTATCAGATCTCATCAGGAGTGGCTGCATTGTCATTTTCTGTGGCCTGGTAAGGCTGCTCCCCACTCAGGGGGAGGTGATCAAAGAGGAGGCCAATCAGTTCATGTCACAGGCAGTCCTTCTTCCCATTACTATGGAAGCCACTTGGATACTGAACTGCCATGGGCTACATCTGTGCAGGGGTTCTAGGTTATCTCCATGAATAGTCCTTGGTTGGAGTATGAGTCTTTGGGAAGTTCCCTGTGTTCAAATTTTCTTGTTCTGTTGCTCTCCTTGTGGAGTTCCTGTCCTCAGGGTTTCTCCAACAGAACCAGGAAATTTGAACACAGATGTCTTTCCAGAGACTGATACTCCAACCAAGGACCATTCATGGAGATAACCTAGAACCCCTGCACAGATGTAGCCCATGGCAGTTTAGTGTCCGAGTGGTTTACATAGTGATGGGAAGAGGGACTGCCTCTGACATAAACTGATTGGCCTGCTCTTTGATCACCTCCCCCTGAGGGGGGAGCACCCTTACCAGGCCACAGAAGAAGACAATGCAGCCATTCCTGATGTGATCTGATAGACTAAGATCAGAAGGAAGGAGAGGAGGACCCCCCTATCAGTGGACTTGGGGAGTGACATGCATGCAGAAAGGGGTGGTAGGGTGGGATCAGGAGGGGAAGAGGGAAGGGCTTATGGGGGGATAAAAAATGAATAAAGTGTAATTAATAATAATAATAATAATAATAATAATAATAATAATAATAATAATAAAAGAAAAAAACAAAATAATAGCAGAAAAGACATCCTCTCTCTCGTATGGTTTTGAATCCAATATATTCTATTATTTTATATCAGATAGACTATATAAAACTTTCCAGAATAATGTGAAAATGGGAGTAAATCAGGCAAATAATAGTATAATGTAAGCCTGACCCTCTAGACCTATTTAATTTCTTAAAAAAAAAAAAAAAAGGTCTGCTTCCTATAATTGGCAACCAGCTGGTTTAGACCAACTATAATGATAAATGACATTTCCTTAATTTATATTATTGGTAGATGAATTAGATTGGATTAGTTGGTCAAATGTGAGCAAGAAGTCAGAGGAAAGCAGTTTGTATTTGAACCCCGCCTGTAGATGGCATGGAGGGGCTTGTCAGAACTGGGTCTTTTAGCATTTATCAAGTTGTGAAGTCAGAAAATAAAGTTGACTAATACTTTAATCACAGGCATTGGGAATGCAGGAAAACCCAGCAGAGTTCCTTTTGGAATACCTTTCTGAGTCCTGCTACCAGGGAAAACATACAAGAACAGTATGGGACAGCCCACAACACCTTCACCTTAAAGCTTAAAAGACATTATGAGAGACCATGTCTTAAAGGGAGTAGATGATGTTCTTAAGAATGACACATGATGTCCTCTGGTCTCTGCATGCACATGTACACACACACACGCATGCATGCACACACACACCCCACACACGTTCACGTTTATCCACACACCTGCAACCCATACACATGCTCATACAATATGAGCACTAATGTATATGGATTAAAAAAAGGAAGTTGAAATGAGCTATTTATTTAGCTTCACTTTACAAAGACAGGAACAGAGAACCAAGCCAGTTATAGTGATGTATGCCTGTAACCATAGCATTGGAAAGGCCAAGGCAAGATATTGAGAATTTGAGGCTGCTGAGCTCTATAGTAAGTTCCAGGCTAGTCTGAGTTTCAAAGTAAGACCCTGTTTCAGAAGCACCATACACACACACACACACACACACACACACACACACACACACACACGCATGCAACATTTGGACACACACACACCAAACTAACCTGAAAATTATGGGTTCTCCTTCTATTGCAGACATCTGTGTCAGAGGTGACTTTGCTACTTTAAAGAAGTTACTGTGTCAACTGGCAAGTCGCTCTTGTCTGCCTGCTTCTCAGCCCATGTGGAATAAAAAAAAATCACTCAAAAGACTTTTAGCCAAAATGATGGGATTGTTTTTCAGATTAATATATTTGAACATTGCAAAGAACCAACACTTTTTTCTTTTCATTTAAAAGCATTTTACTTGTAGTACTTTTTATTACTTAAATTGCGTACTTAAGTGTGTAAGACATTGTGCCACATAAAATCTCATCTCATAATAATTTTGACTTGAAAATTGTTTTCTTCTCTGTCTTCTTTGTAGCAAAATGCAAGCAGCGTGCCTTGAATTATTTAGATTATTATTGATTAAGTTAAACTTAAGGCTGTAGAATAGTTAAGGCCAAGGGAAGCACAACATCATGATTTAATTTGCTTTTTAGACCTAGTGCTCCTTTTAACTTACGCAAGATGACAGCAGAGTTCAGAAGTCCTGGGGGCTGAGGAACATTAGTAAATTCTCTTCAGGGCTATTCCCTTTTCTATGTGCAAAGATGAACTTTTCCTGAGAGTAGTTTACAAATTGTATTTGAAATGTAATGTTTTCCTGCTTGTTTCTTTTTCTGAATTTATGCTTATAATTCATGTCGCAAGTTAGTTATGCCCTATTACCTTCTGTACATTTCATGCTGTAACTCTTCTTTTCCAAATAAAAATGAAACCTTCAGGTTCCAAAAATTTGTGTTTATTTGTTGGTTGGTTTGTCTGTTTCCTGTCACAAACTGATCCCATTTATCTGCAGCAAAGAGGTGCTAAAACTGTCACATTTGCCATTAAAATAGTAGGTTGCTTATCTTGTACTATATGGCTAGTATCCACTTATGAGTGAGTATATACTATATGGGTCTTTCTGCTTCTGGGATACTTCACTCAGGATGATCTTTTCTAGTTCCATCCATTTGCCTGCAAATCTCATGATTTCCTTGTTTTTAATAGCACAGATCTAGCTGATGGGAAGCTCTGGCTTCATGTGGGTTCCCTAGTAAGGAAGCAGAGGCTGTATCTGACATTGGAATCTGTTGCCTGCTTTTCAATCACTTCCTCCTAGGGGGACTGCCTTGCCAGGCCACAGGAGAAGAGGATGCACTCAGTCCTGCTGCTATTTGATGAACTTGGAGGGGGATCCTTTTTCTGAGGAGAAGGGGAGTGTGGATAAGGGGAAGTAGGAGAGAGGGTGAGACTGGGAGGAGAGGAGGCAGTGGGCTACAATCGGATATAAAGTGAATAAACAAATTAATAAAATAGTAATAGCGAATTCTTTCTGTCACAGTCAGCAGGTGGTTAGGTAAGTCGTTTCACAATAAAGCTTCTAATATGGATTTCCATTACAATTTTACAGTCTGAATGAAATAATAGACTGTAGGAAGGGGGTCTTCAGAGGCACTTCTAATGAAGATTCTCCATGAAGATTCTTAGGTCAATGGTAGGTGTGTTTGCAAGGGCTGTGGTGACTTCAGGCTGGCATGCATAGGTAGCAAGTCAAAGTGTCTGGTTTCTGTGTGTCATATAATCTCCAGCAGCAGAGATCACAGGGATGCTCTCATTTTCATTACTTCTGCTGTGCTTACAGAGTCACCTAAAAGCTGGCTAATTTTTGCTGAGTGAAAAACATTGATAGGAAATTCTAGGCTATGCAGACATGTTATTTAGTTAGAGCTCAGATGATTTAGCTGGTGATTGGGCTTTTGTAATGTTATACCCAATTTGTGAGATCCCCAAAAGACCACCAGGGAGTTGAATCTGTTGCAAAACACATGAGGATCTTTATTCGCAGCTCAAGCTGGACTCTCACAGACACCAAGGCATTGATATCCGGTTGAGAACCACGAGCTCAGGATTGTGGGTGATTATAGGTCCCAGTCCCTCCCAGTGCACCCAAAGCAGGGGATTTTAGCCTGGCAAGCTTCTATTGGTTAATACAGCAAAAAGGGTATGCTACATTTCAAAACTGTTTGCTATGGGATAGTGCCAGGACCATGAATGGTTCTATTGTACTATTGTACTATTTTCAGGAGCAAAGGTACGAGTTGGAACGCGTTGGGGACCATCCCTGCAGGTCCCCTGGCAACAATATTTCTAATGAGAATGAAGGTCAGCTTTTCCCTACAGTTGGCTGGGTCTGCCTAAAAGCAACAAAGTCAACTGGCCTGATATGTTTTAAACTTTTTAGCTCAGCACCCCAAAAACCTAGTTTTTAATTCTTTGGTCTCTCAGTAACGCTACAGACCATATTCCATTTGGTTGTTTAAGTCATTCATTAATCACATATCTAACACACACTAAAGTGTCAGGGTCTTTGCTTTGACCCTTTACAAGAGAGCCATAATTATCTTTATCTGTTGAAATACTGATATTTTAGCTTTATCATCCAGTTCTTATACAGTTGACCTTATATATCAACAAGGGTTCTGCTGACATGTTTAATTAGAAGAGCACCAAAACTGAAATGATATTGTTCAGAAGACTGAACAAAGTCCCCAAAATTATTTCAAAAAATACTAAATGAAACAGTTATATCTTTGTAATATCAGTATCTTGAATTAAAAACCACATTAATTGTATACTCTAACCCTGAAAGTGAATGGGCACACATATGAATCATGGGGCTGGAGATATGGTTTAGCAGTTAAGAATATTTATTGATCTTGAAGAGAACCAAGGTTCATTCTCAGGATCAACACAGTGGCATACAGTCATCCATAACTCCAGTTCCAGGGGATTCAATACCCTCTCCTGAACTTTCTGGACACTAGGCACAAATGAGGTGCATGAATGCAGGCAAAACACTCATACACATGAAAAATAAGTAATAATTTAATAATATAAATCTTTAAAGTAATAACCTGTTTCCCCCACAAAGTCCCATGTAGGTTATTTGAAGGGCTCAAGCATAGTGTCACACAAGCTTTTGAACACATGCAAGAGCTCTATGAAAACTCACTGCATAACATAACATAATCTACATGTGCTTGATCCTAATCCATTTATTATTTAGTTGATGAAAAATCTAAACAAAAGAAAAGAATGTCTGACTAATTCTAGGAGACAGTTTACAGATTTTAATTGGGTAACCATAGGTTTCAGAATGCCCAAATTTACAGATACAATATGATTAAACTGTCTAATATTTGAAGGCTAAAATTTTCTAATATTTGCCTAGGATTACATTGCTGTACTGTGAAAAATATTTCTATAATTAAAAATAAAGCTGCAAATAAATTATGCTTGTTAGCATTTAATGTGTCTTTCAATACATTGGGGTTTGAAAATGAAACTTGTAAACATGTTAACCTTTTCCCAAGGTTGCTAGGTTTGAGAGATTTCATATGCTGTGATCTCTTGTTAACAAGTCCTTCCATTGTAATACTGGAACTATGCCAGCTTTACTGTCCAATAATGCTTTGCAAATGTATGTTTTTATTTTATTCTAGGAACATGTTGTTTCTCTGTGGATGGCTTCCCCTACATACACATATACATATATCCACACATTCCTGTGCACCTGTGCCTGCATCCAAGACTTCAATGTAAATATAATAGAAAGAAATGAGAAGAAACTTAGTGTTTCTATTAACTCTGCCCTTAGAAAGGAAAGAAAATTTCTTTTATATATTATTATTCTCATAGATTTTATTGTTAGTGACATTTACCTGTTTATACAAACATGACACACACATAATAAGATTTATATACATATAATTTCTATGAACTGCTGCTTGTGCCTTGTGTGCCTTGTGTTGTTTTCCATATAATAGTACACTGTTATTACATGCAGCTAACAAACTCGTAGTCATTAATTTGGTTCCAAGTTTCATGCATGAAGTGAAATAAAAAACAGGATAATAGAGCTCAGTTGAAATACTGGGACACATAGGAAAGCTATGCCACTTCTGATAAGCTTGCTGCACTAATTGTTGGATTATTTAGATAATTATTGAATTATTTAGATGACTAGTAATCAAAACAATTTGTTATAGAAACAGTCAAAACTGATGAATAGTTATTTAAAATCTGCTCTCAACAATTGCACTATACACAATTATTTCTAAGACAAAGAACATTCACTCAGATAGAACATATGCTGATTTATGAAACCAATTTTAATTAATTAAAGAGACTGGAATAATGTAGAGTGTCTTCGGGTTTTTATTGCTGATATAAAACACTGGAACCATAAACAACTTGGGAAGGAAAGGAGTTATTTCATCACACAGCTGTAGTTCATCACCAGGGAAGTCAGGGCAGAAACTCACAGCAAGAGCTGATACAGAGATCTTTCCATCTCTTGATATCTTCTTCAATTTCTTTCTTCAGAGACTTGAAGTTTTTTATTTTATTTTTATTTTTTTTTAAACAGGTCTTTCACTTGCTTGGTTAGAGTCACACCGAGGTACTTTATGTTATTAGTGACTATTGTGAAAGTGTTGTTTCCCTAATTTCTTTCTGAGCCCCTTTGTCTTTTGTATACAGGAGAGCTACTGCTTTTTGAGTTAATTTTATATAAAGCCTCTTTGCTGAAGGTGTTTATCAGGTATAGGAGTTCCCTGGTAGAATTTTTGGGGTCGCTCATGTATACTATCATATCCTCTGCAAATAGTGATAATTTGACTTCATCCTTTCCAATTTATATCCTCTTGATCACCTTTAGTTGTCTTATTGCTCTAGCTAGGAATTCAAGTACTATATTGAAGAGATATGGATAGAGTGGGCAGCCTTGCCTTGTCCCTGAGTTCAGTGGAATTGATTTAAGTTTCTCTCCTTTCAGTTTGATGTTGGCTATAGGCTTGCCATATATTTGTCTATACCATGTTTAGGTATGTGCCTTATATTCCTGAGCTCTAAAAGACTTTAAACCTGAATTGGTGTTGGATTTTCTCAAATGCTTTTTCGGCATCTAAGATGATGATCCTGTGGTTTTTCTCCTTCAGTTTGTTTATGGATCGGTAGGATTAACATAGTGAAAATGGCCATCCTGCCAAAAGCAATCTAAAGATTCAATGCAATTCCCATAAAAATACCAAAATAATTCCTTACAGACGTTGAGAGAAAAATTCTCAACCTCATATGGAATAACAAGAAACCCAGAATTGCTAAAAACAATCCTGTTCAACAACAGATCATCTGGAGGTATCTCCATCCCTGATCTCAAGTGGTACTACAGAGGAATAGTAATAAAAACTGCATGGTAATAGCATAGAAACAGACTAGTGGATCAATGGAATCGAACAGAAGACCCAGAAATAAACCCACGTACCTCTGAACACCTGATTTTTGACAAAGAAGCCAGAACCATACAAGGGAAAAAGATAACATCTTCAACAAACGGTGCTGGTCTAACTGGATGTCTACATGTAGGAAAACTGCAAACAGATCCATATTTATCACCCTGCACAAAACTAAAGTCCAAGTGGATCAAAGACCTCAACATAAAAGCAGATACACTAATTCTGATAGAAGAAAAAGTGGGGAAGGGCCTTGAACTTTTTGACACAGGAGACAACTTCCTGAACAGAACACTAACAGCACAGGCTCTAAGATCAACAATCAATAAATGGGATCTCATGAAACTGAACAGCTTCTGTAAAGTTAAGGATACTGTCATCAGAACAAAATGACAGCCTACAGACTTCACCAACCATCTAT